CGCGTTTTGTCCGGTTAATTTAAATCAGCACTGTATAAGTCTATCGAGACAAGGAAATAAAATCCGTACAAAAAAGAGCGTAAAAACAGACGTAATCAATCTCAAACTGCCTCTTGGACCACTCTCAATTGGTGCGACCAACGAGTTTCGAAAAAACTCTAAAAAAAATAAAACTAACTTAGATGAGAAAAAATCCAAATAGACTTAGTTTGCTGAACACATCGCGGTAAGAATGTTTAGTGTGCTTTACATCACATTCATTCAGAGCCTGCCTGGTTTAAATCTTTTTGGTTCGTCCTATGACCTGCTACAAATTACACCATAATAATTCTGCTAAAATTTTAAGCAATCTTGGTCTTCATAAATTTTCACCTAAACTCAACCCAATTTGAAACGCGTTTTAAATTTCAGGCTTAACGCGTTTTGTCCGGTTAATTTATATCACCACTGTATAGTTGTTCAGCGTCTCTTGGTGATTACCGTTTTTTAATCAAATAATAACGATGCCTCGCTGACGCCCTGTACTATGAAAGTTTTCCCTCGCTTTCAAAGGGTCGACTTCCATAGCTAAGCCTGGCATGCTCGTCTTGTTCACTCGCAATGTTGTTTTTTGAAATTTTTGAGTAATGTTACCAGTTTTTATGCTTTGAGATTGGTGTCTGGTCCAAAAGAGACGCTCTTTCTCCCCGACCTTTTTCCTCCCTTTGTGGGGATATGTTTTTGACAGTCTCATTGCTCTGTTCTAGTTACACAGTCCTTTCGATCAAAGTTGAATCATCATCAAATAGGCACTCAGCTATTATAAACTCAAATCGATTGCTTTTTTCGATATTCTTGTTGCTTTTTTGATAGTCGACAATTGGCCAATTTCGGTTTTCATTAGTGTATAGCCGAACTAAGCCAGGCTAATCTTTTCAGTAAAATTTTATTACTCCTCAGCAAACATTTTCACACCTTCGGAGTGATTGACTTTTGACAGTATCGGTGACGTGGCAAACTCTAGACTTGACTCTCTATGTGGGGTTCACAGTCGGTACGGCCTTCTCGAATTTCTCTTCCTTCAATTTTGTACTTGTTATCTTTTTATTACGTTCAGTGCCTGAGCTGGCATTATTAGCTTCTCTAGTATGCCCCAGAGTCATTCTCTATCAACTCCTGGGGTGCACTCTTACTATATCTAGAAGAACCACACTAAGTCTCTTTAAGTTTTGTCGGCTTCTCATCCCTTTTCCCACTTGACCCAGAAATTTTTCTGACTTCCTCGTCAATACGGCTAAAATTTCCTCAATCAGTCGTCAGTTTTCTTTTCTGAAGAATTCTCGGTACTTTCCATCACTTCTTACTGTTTTCTGCCAAAGTTTTGAGACTAGAAGCAGAAACTCTTGCTATGATTCGGCTGACAGGAGTCAGCAGACACATGCGTCTATAGTTTTATATGTCGGTCTATCCTTCTTTTGTCTCTATCGGCCAGCAGTCAGTTTTAAGGATCTCAAGAAGGCAGTCGTACAAAAGAACCTTACCCTTACCGCCACTCCGATCTCCTTAGTGTGATCTCCTTGATCAAGGCTAGCTCTTCTCTCATTTTTTCTATAGTGAGTATAGTGTTTATGTTACTTCCTGGCTAACCGCTACAATTTTCCGTCTAGCAAGTGCTGCTTTTTTTGAAAAATTGAACCCACCGTAAAATTTTCCCATATTTTCCAGGCCTATAAAATTCTTCTTGAACTGTGTTGTTTTATTTCTCTTTTTTTTTTTAAATTTTGGTTAAGCTTCCCGTGGAACCTGTCCTTCGCTTCTCTCACAAATTGCAGCCACTAAGACTCTATCAGCTTGTTTTTTGCAATTTTGAAAGTCTTTCATTTTTGCCTGCTATTGCTTGTAGGACCTCCCTATGGCAGGGAGACTCATCATTTTTTTGCCATATTTGATACCCTCTGTTGAAAATTTTCAGTTTTCTTCTTGTCGTTGTCCAGCCATTTGTTATGAATGCAGCCAACCTTTTGTTAAGGAACACCGCGTGCTTATTGTCCTCATCGATGATTTGTATCATTTTCAGGCCATTAACTTTATCTTCCTAATGTCTTGGCCTGTGGTTCTCTTCCTAATGTCTCTCGATACTCCTTGACGACCATTTCTTTCCATCGATTTTCCCAGATCAACAGAGGTTTTTGAACGGTCCCATCCCTATTTCTACATTACGAGGCCAAACTGTGCATTCTGTGCATTGTAAGTGGATTCCGCATCAGGCCAAAATCAGATTTTTCGGAGAACCGGCAACTTTGCAACTTTTTTTGATCTTCTTCGCTGTTGTGGATTCCACAAAGAAATACCTAAAACACTGTACCGCACAAAACCGATCCGAAAATAGGTGATTTTGCGGAATTCGCAACCTTACTTGCGGAATCCAGAACAGTTTCTGGAATCCACAAACAAATAATAAGACATTTGTTTAGTTAAATTAAGATGTTGCGGATTCCGCAACTGTAAGCGGAATCCGCAAATTGTAAGTGGAATACGCAAATTGTAAGTGGAATCCGCATTTTGTTTGTGGATTCCGTTTACATATATGTGTATATCTGTAGTATAGCGTTTAAAATTATATCTTTTAATTACTGGTCACCAGAAAAATCAATCTCAATTACTACATTGATCAACTACCAGTTGAAATACCACAGGTTCGGTCTCAATTCCTGTCAATCCAACTTCGATCTCAAATCCTGTCAATTTCGATCCCAAATACTGACGTACTGAACTTCGATCCCAAATAATGACCAAATTCGATCTGAATTTTGATCCCAAATACTGATGCAATCCCAAATACTGACCTAGTTTGGCATTGTGCTGTGCGTTGTGTTACCAAACACTCTCAAACCAATTACTACAAATATTTAATTTATTCGGCGTTAAGATTTCAACATCAGTATTTGGGATTGACGCAATCCCAACTAGTAATCTAAATTGGGGATATGCTGTGTGTTGTGTTTCCATACACTTTCAACCCATTAATTACAAATAACGAATTTATTTGGCGTTATGCTTCCAAAATCAGTATTTGGGGTTGTCCATATTCAGATGTTGTTTTTCCGTACCCTGTCAGCCCAATGTAGTATGTTGTTTTTCCGTACCCTGTCAGCCCAATGTAGTATGTTGTTTTTCCGTACCCTGTCAGCCCAATGACTCCAAATATTGAACTTATGTTGTGTTTCCAAAATACTGAAAGGAGAAATTTCAGCTCTAGCTTTTGATTGTTCATATGCAAGTTCAGTAAAAAATTTTCTTTTATTTTCCTTTTTTTGGCTGCACAGATTTGAACACTAAGATTTTGACTAGAACTGTTACAGATTTCATAGGAGATGGCGATTGAATTGGAATTGAAAAAGAATACTTTAATGATTGAGAACTATAGTAGAATGAATGGAAGAAAAGATTATTATTTTTTAATCGAACAGCTCAGCGACCCTTCATGTATTTCTGTCGTAGAAAAACTCGATTTTGAAATGACGTTTCAAATTAGTTTTTACTAAAACATTTGTTTCAATTTTATGGATCTAAAAATGTGGTTTTCCCCGGCATCGGTTAGGCTGCTGCTTTTTTGTGTATGATCTCATTTTTCTAAATCATGACTTTTATTTATCGATACTGAAAGATTTCAGTTTTAAAAAAAAAACATTTTGTTTTCATCAAATTTCAATCTCAGGTTTACGATCTTCTAGTATCAATCATATTCAGATCGTTTTTGCCTTCCTCGCAAAATGTGCAGAAAAAAATCTGGGACCAATTGCTATACACAATTGGCAATCTTGTGTCTATTTTACTAGGAAAACTGTTCTGTGTAAGATAATACTTTCGATGGACATTTACGATCGGCAAAACTTTGTTCTTGTTTGATATTGTTACGACTAAAAAAAAATGACGGAATTTTTGTGCTCAGGGTGGATTTAAACAACATTAAACGTGCAGTATATTTCATGCTCGGGATATATTTCATGATGTATTTCATGAACATGTATATTTCTTGAACGTGTAAGCGGAGATTTAATCCGTCTTAGATATCGTTCCAAATTGAATTGAGACTATTTAATAATTTGCTATGTGCGAAGTGTATGACTCCATACTTCACGTAGCGTGTACGGGGATGATTTTCAAAAAAAGGCTATTTTTCCTTTTCCCCCACCTCACACCACGAGCAGCATCTTTACGTGTAACTTTTAATTTTACAAGGTTAATTATGAGTAGTAAATATGCTTATCATGACTTAATTTTTTTATGTCAAATTTCATTACATTCAGACATAAAAAACAAATTTTTTATGCTAAAATTTTGCACGTGTAGAGCATAAGGAAAAGGAGCCAAACATATTTGAAAGCTTTCATGTATTCTGAAGTTTCACCAATTTTTTTTAAAATGAACACTACTTCATAGATCTTATGGCAATCGGATCATTCGGGGCTTCACCGTGATATGAGCACTCTTGTTTTATTGCTAAATCAGTTTGAGATGTAGTGGGCAAATAGCCAGGGTAATTACACCAGTTATCTGTTTCGACAGTTACGAATATTACTAAAATTACAAAACTTCTTGATTTCTAAAAAAAACTTTTAATTAGTTAGTTCACTGCTGAATACGTCGGAATAAATATCATTATTTGAAATAATTGCTTAACTTAATTCGAGTTATGCTTTTTCGATAGGTTATTTTCAGGTTGGTTGATGCGTCTAAAATTGATCAGAGGCACATTGCGTAATAGTTTTTTTTTCAAGTTGCAAATTGAAGCTCTTAATTAAATATTTAAGCTGTGGTAAAAAAAGAAACAAAGTGAAAACTTCTTTTATAAGATATCCTAAGCCCTGGCCGCAAATCAAAAAGTACTTCGCGTACGATTTCATTTTTCTTAAAAAAGTAATAGTACTTTAAAATAATTTTACTGTTTTAAATAAAGTTATTTTCTAAATATTTACCTAATGTTATATTGCGATGCTTGTAATTTTTTGGTGTGATAGATGGAGTTGTGGGCTACCGGTCTTTGGGGTCGTGCGAAGAAGCGTGTCAAACAATTTGTTCATCTGCGGAAGTAGCTTCATATAAGTGCACAGGATCATTGACCGATTGTAACGCAGACTTTTGCCCAGATTTAGAACCGTGCGTAACTTGTTACGCAGACTGTAGCTTATCGGAAGATGTCGATTATTGTCTGATGGACTGTGACTTTTCTGACGCTTGTGGGTTTGATGCCAGACAAAAACGGGAAGTGATCGCTCTCGGACCAATATCACTAGGGGACAGTGGACAGTCTTTCGTTCCGAGCGTCGACTTGCAAACTGATCTGAAGTACTTCTCTGTTTTCAGACTAGTCTTATCTTCTGCTGACCCCACGCAAGGTAATTGAACAAATGAACCTTTTGCTAATTTCTCCAAAACTAATAAGCAACTTTTTCAATTCTTGCTTGACTCTTACTTCTCTAACGAAACGGTGTTTTGCCAAAGTTTTCACTTGATACACTCGCTTATTATTCGCGGTTTGTGGCGGAATTAGAGATTTTTTTGGTCTAAATGTTAAATGTCACAAAATGTAATCCTGGGTTGACCAAAAATTGTTATAGTACATTTTCCTTATGCGGAAAAAGTTACCTATACAATTTCGTACAATTCCATACGGATAAAAAATTGAAAAAAAAAAACTCATTGACAAGTATTTTTCCATACATGGAATTTGTATAGTAACCATTTTTCTATTGTATACGAAGCATTTTTGCATGAAAAAGACGTCAACTTTCGTTCGAATTTATGTTTCGTATCAAAAGATAATAACCAAGGGTATTTTTTGCAAGAAAACCCATAAGTTAAGTGTCAAAATCGCACAGCAGAACTGCATTGAATATTCGCCAAAGGGTTGATGTAATAACGTTTAATCAGAAATATTACTAGCAACCATAACATTTTCTATGTGGCTACAAAAATTTACAGAATAAAATTCCTACGAAAACAAGGAGAAACTATTTTTTGATTCAACAAAAAAATAAATTGTCATTTCTGATTCAATTGTACAAAAAACTCAGCCTGGACTACGTTATAGACAAAGAAGCGCAAATTTTGCATTCAAAAGTTTTTTTTTTGAATTGGTTGCTTGAGCATAGAAATGATTTTGAAGCCCCAAAAAACGTTTTCTAGACATGTAAAAAATGCTAATTGTACTAATTTTAATTATGAAAACTGTATGATAAAGCATGTTTTCTATACACTCAAGGTATGGAACTGGTTAACAAACAATTTTGTTCTATCAATTTAAATTGTATGATAAGAGGTTTTTGCATACAGGAGTCAATCCGGGATTTTATTTCAAAGGTTTTGCCGCTTGAAACAAATTTCCGAAGTAACAAAATACTACCTAAACAGCAGTTTGCTGAACGACCAGAAGCCGCAGATCACAATTTGATGCCGCGAAACTTGTGGATACAATCCGGTCAAAACTAGCTGATAGAAGTACATAATTAACAAAAGTCCGGAGTGATAGAAAACAAATAACAACAGAAAAACTTTTGCGAGGCCCAAATTGGATAATATCAAAGATATGGAACTCATAGACTAATTGTATCTCAATCATTCGTCTAGAAGAAGTATATCCTTCAAAGACCGAAAGAAGGGAAACCAATTGACTGCATTTTTCAGGAGTTTACATACCAAAACAATGAATACCTGAGAGTTCTTAGACGAGAGAAAATATCTATCCTGAAAATATTGCTCCCATCAGTGAACTAGCGCAGGAAAGCGAAACCTGGTACAAATAAAATTAATTTCAGAACAAGCAACTTTACGGGCTGTCAGTAGTCGAATATGTTTGTGTCTAGAGCTGCGGAGTTGCAGTATAATGTAGATGAAGGAGATGAAGATTATTTTTGTACTTTGATTAAGTTTAGCAAAGATGATAAGATTTTGAATGAAATTAAGAAGATCTGTAGAACTAGGAAAGTGATCTTAGAAATGAGAAGGAGGAGACTGAACATTCGTTTAATTTTAGGACAAAATTGTGTTTTAGGTGCAATAAGACTGGACACAAAACAGCTCATTATAGATCTAAGTTAATGATTAAGGCTAACCAGTCATCCAGTGATGAATCCGCTGTGAAAATTTTTCAGTTGCATAGAATTAGAATACATAGCTAGGGATTGTAAGAAGGACTTTGAGAGGAAAAGCATGAGAGAAGAGTAGCAGTTGGCTGAAACAATTAAAACATATTAAGATTTACAACTGAGCCGATAGAGACGATGATGACTTAGTTATAGATTCAGGCGCAACTTGCAGTATTGTGAAGGATAGGAGTTTACTTGTTGAACTGGACGAGAGTTTTAGCAAAACTGTTGAAAACGCTAACAAAATCGGAGTCTAATTTTTACGTAAATAATGAGCTGACTTTACTGTGAGAGAACCTCAAGGAAATTTTTTAGAAGAAAACTTAATGAATTAATGTTTCTATGAAGCAGAAAAGTCAGGAAAATTGGTATCAGTCTCCAAACCTACTACAGGAAGAGCCAAAGAAATTTTCAACTAGTGTAGGTGACGATGCAGTAGTTTTTTTCTTTTCAAAAAGGAGTGTTAAGTTTCGGAGAAAAGACTTCCCAATTTGTAAAGAAGTCACTTCCCACTTTTTGGATCAAATTAAAAACATGGTTGGATATCGCACGTTGTCACGCGATATCATGCGATGTCATATTACCAGAGCAGATCTCAACACGCGGTTATTTTTCCATATAAATAGAAGTGGATTGACTACTCTATTATCGCTCTCTAACTCAACTGTTGATTATACATAGTTTTGCAGCCAATATGTAATAGTCAGTGAATAAGCGGAACTTGCAGAGTTCCAGAGTTCTGATCGAATCAATTCTCAGTTCTTGTCTACTTCTCAGCAGTGAGTGAGTAAAAGGGCCCTCTGTGAAAGATGAAGCTTCACGACAGCAGTCAGACGTGAGCCTGGGCGAAGTTGAAAGTTCACGGAGAGTTTCAGAAACAAATGGTGTCTGATTTAGCGCATTTGAACCCTTTTTTTGTGATCTCAACTAGAAACTTTCAAATTTTTTGAACTTTTTTTTCTATTTCAACTCAAATGCTTTTTTATTGGTGTGCTAAATGCTGATAAAACTACTCTTGAATTATTGAGGTTACAGATATTAAGATCTTTTTCGGTCAAAACTTTAAGGAAATAGTAAGTCGACATTTGGGCCGATATTTTGAATGCAAATAGTTCAGACTCGATAAAAATCACGCAGTCAAGAAATAATAAATACCAATATTTGTGTCACAAATTGACTCTGAAAAATCTTGAAACTTTCAGTCTGGTGTAAATCAATTCAAAAAAACCAGTTGTATAATTTAGTTTAAGCACCGGGGACCTCAACTTTGCTCCTATACGTTAAAAAGACTTCGACTTGATTGATACAACGCCCTCTAATTGTAGTAAAAAAAATATCGTGAAGTTTACGAAGTCGCAGCGTTCTTTTTTTCATAAAAACCACTAATTATTTTTATAATCAACGCAAGTTCGATGTACCACGCGCTAGAAAAAGTGTCCGCGTCACTACATCTTTTTTGACTATTTAAGCCATAAACAGTCTAGTTTTTAATCACAACGCCGTTAACAACCGTATTGCTGAACAACACACTTTCAGTCTGTTTTCGTTTTAATCATGCAAATATCGTGATATGGCTAATAGTTATGAAAAAACTCATTTTGTAGCAGTTCTTTCAACCTTTTTGTGGGTTAAAATTTTATAGCCATCTTGAAATGATAGAACAGTAAGATCACAGCTATCGTATTCCGCCAACTCAACGGAAACGGAATTGACGACATCTTTGCGAAATTCAGCAGTTCAGTTGAAAAAATTACGAGTGTAGTGAAATATCTGTGGCAAAAACACCTGATAGAACATCCGGTACGTAGGAGCTCAGAATATACTGCAAAAACTAAAAAAAAAAACAGTCATTGTAATAAATCCGTAGCAAGACGCGCTATTCAAGGAATTTTTTTTGTTTTTCGTGCTACAGGAACACCTAGCAACTTACAGTTTCCCAGCTGAAGATTTGTATGTTTAGAATTCTTTGGTGGGAAACGTGGTTTCGTCTCGGTCCGTTGGTATTAAAGTGATTCTCCTTCATTTCTTTTTTGAATTAAGATATGGTACGAGTTTTCCCTTTTTTGAAAAGCATATTTGCAATAATCGGCCGAATTGAGAAAAAAAATAATTTGTGGTCGTAAGCAAAAAAAATAATCAAACTTGGGGTATTATATACATTGCGCTACCCTAAATTTTTTTAAAACTTAAAAAATCAGAAAAATTATCTGAAAAATTATTGAAAGCAATGTTAAAACGCGATCTTTTTTCAGAAAAACAACGTCTTTTAAATAACAATTAAAAAGCTTAAATTGCAAAAAACGGCTGCAATTAAAAACAAGATAGGAAAAGTGCTGGAAAAATGTCTGACGCGTTAATGTAGAAAGAAATCAACTATTTAAAATTGTTTTTAGAATATGCCAAACCCTGGCCTCAAATTTATGAATAATTTGCATGAGGTTTCCATCTTGTTAAACAAAAATAGATTATCTAAAACTTATTTTTTTTGGAAGTTCTTTTTAAATTTTTTTCTAATTTAATTTGCAAATGCACGTGATTTTTTGAGAAATTTTATGGTGTTTTAGATGCAGGTGTTATAGATGGTCAAAAAGCAATTTGCATGCAATTTCATTCATATAATAAAGAGAAATAATGTTTTTTCCAAAAAACTGAAATTATTTCTAAATTTTTTTCTAAGTTTCATTGCAAAAATTTTTTACTAATGGATAACTTTTTCTGCATACGAATCAGTATAAGAATCAGTATAACTCCCAATAGATGTTGTTTCGGCATTAGGCGGCTTGTCGCTAACCTTGATGCATCAAGCTCAAAAGCCTCTAATTACTCCTTGGTCTTCTACGCAGTTTGCCACCGTCGTTGATACTCAGCAAAATATAAGCGATGTGAATGAAATATAAATCTAAATGAGTTGCAACCCAGTCACTTTTCAATTGCAAATCAGTGGATTAAAGCTGAGCCTGTTAGATATGATAATTTTGAAAGTGATTTGTCACTTTAGTTTTTAAGCTCATCTCCTTTTTCTGTAGTTTTTTGGACAATTAATCCTGTAGGTAATCTCACTTTTATCATTAATATCTACAAGCATCAACAACCCCCGAAATTTCTAACCCGTTAACGTTCAACGGAACATCATGCGTACTTAAGATGAGAACACCAACTATGCCTCCATTATTTACATACACTACCGTTGGAGCATTTTTAAATTTCACTCCATTACAGGACAAGGTACCCTGGCAAACATTGATCGCTTC